TGGCGCCTAACGCTTACCTCTAGTACCAAATTGATTACGTAATTTATCTAATAAGTAGCATAAAACTAGCCCGATAGATTTTCGGCAGTCTGTTGGTTGTAGCTATAATTATATATCGGGTTGGAGATGTTTGTATATAACTTAATTGGATCTCATTATTTTGGAAAAAGTTAGACAAAAAATGTAGGGTGTTGAGGGACCAATCAATTGGTGTCCACAGATGTGACCTTGACCTTCAAGGTCATTTGGAGATCAAGTCTGTTTTCTTCAATGGGAACACATATTTTTGACCCAGGAAATGGAAAGAGCAGGAAATTTCACAACCAGATGTACCTTTGACCTTATTGTCTAGGTTAAAAGTCAAGATTATTTTAAGGTTAAAATTGTAAGCTTTTTCTAATGGGAAACCATACTTTTCATTAGTGGAATAGGCAGGGAGGTAAAAATTACATTTTTTCATGACCTTATTACTTTGAACTTTAAAAGTATTCACTACTTTTAGCACTACTGAGGAGTAACGATGTGGATGTAATAGTTTTTTGCTCCCTTTGAGGTGTTTATTTTCAGTGAGTCTCCTTGCCTCTCACTATCGTGGTACTTGTTTTCGACAGACTTACTTCTAGAATAACCAAAACGGTGCTTAAATCGCTTTAATTTGTTTCACTAATGTTAGTGAAACAAATTAAAGCGATTTAAGCACCGTTTTGGTTATTCTAGAAGTAAGTCTGTTGAAGTTACACTGTGTGTTGGAAGTAGTATTGTTTACTTGTTTTCGGTGAGTCACTTTACTTCTTACCATTGTTTGAGATGTTGGTTTGGGGGAAATTTTATAACAAATGTTCAAAATGATGCCCTTTCACTTTAATGCATTTATTGAGTTGTACTTACAATTATCACGCTTGAGATGACCTTCAGAGGTTAAATTTGGGGTTATGGCTGATTGTGAATTTTCCCATTGTTTCCATGTAAATGTAACTTTTACCCCTCTGCCTATTCCACTAATGAAAAGTATGGTTTCCCATTAGAAAAAGCTTATAATTTTAACCTTAAAATAATCTTGACTTACGATCTAGACCAGGGGTTGGGATTAGCAGCTTGCAAGCCGCATGCAGCTCTTTGCATAGATGTTTGCAGCTCTTCGAACATAAACTCCAATTTCACCTCACCTCATTTCACCGCAGCCTTTTAACTTATGAATTTATGAGATAGAGCTGCTGAACAAACTTTGACTCGTACGGCATACTCTCTACCACTCTTTAGCCTGTCTGTACTGTACATGACCACACCCGCATTGATCAATATGAGTCTCATGTGAGTGGCAGCATTTGAAGCATATCTATCTATATATACATAATCCATTGAACGCGTGTCCGTCTGTGTAACGTTATGCCAAACTCGGCCACTAGAGGCGCCCCTGTCGTGTGTTGTATTTCGCACATTTAAATTAACAGTATAAATTATTATTATTCATTTGGCCAATAACAATATAAATAATTCAGTATATTTGTAATAGGAATTTATTATTGTCGTGGAATGCCTGTAATGCACACTAAGGGGAGAGTCTCTGGTGTGTGTTATATATGCCGCTCTGGTACTTTTGTTACACTGTTTCCATGACAATTTGGCTCTTCTCACTTGACAAACTGTCGACCCCTGATCTAGACAATAAGGTCAAAGGTACATCAGATTGTTAAATTTCCTGCTCTCTCCATTTCTGGGGTCAAAAATGTGTGTTCCCATTGAAGAAAACAGACTTGACCCCCAAATGACCTTGAATGTCAATGTCAAGGTTACATCTGAGGTCATCAATTAATTGGCCCCTTGACACCCTACAATTTTTGTCTATAGCTTTTTCCAAAATAATGAGACCCAATTAAGTTATTTCATTGTTTCAAGATAAAAATACACCGTGTGTGTGTGTATACATACATACAATACAATACAATACAATACAATACAATACATACTGTTTATTTATTTATTTATTGATATGTTATATTAATTAATGTTAGTATTATTAATTTATTTATTTTGGTTTCTACTTTTTATATTTTATTTATTTCATTTTACATTTTTGTATTCTTTATTTTAAACTTGCATTTAAATTCTGTGTGTTGAAACATTGTTGTGAAATATTCCATTTAAAAAAGTTTGAATATGATATTACACCTTACAGTGATCAATAAAAATTAGATTGAAAAGATTTGTGAAGATATAAATATATATTCCTTAGAAGCATAAAATGATTATAGAAGTTAGTTAACTATTTGAAGTTATCTTCTCTCTTCTAGTGTGCTGATCTTGGGATATTTTCATCTTCCTTTTACAGTTTTAAACTTCCTGTGGACTGTTTCTCTTTACTGCAAAGATGGAAATTCAAACATTCATGCAAATATAGAAATTCAAACCTTTAACCCCCTTTGAGCCGCCCATTTTTTTTAAAATTTTTAATTAAGCATAAAAAATACTTAAAACTGAAAAAACACGAAAGAAATGCGTTAATTTTGAAGAAAAAGCTTTATATTTTATTTTCCTTTGTTTCACCTGTCTGTGAAATGTAACACCGATGAGTCATTGTTTACACAGCTGGGTGACCTTGAACACAGCTGGAGTCCGATTTCCCGGGACATTCTCATAGACATCGCGGGAGGACAGGGGTTTAAAGTAGGGTGACTTCAATCTGGCGGTATATTTTTAAATATTTTAAAAAAATTATAATTTTTATTGCGATTTCCGACCCCCCCTAATTAATTAAACTTCTATATAATAAAATCTATTAATTAAAAAAATTAAAAAACTATCGGAAGTCGTTTTTGACATCAGAAAGCAGCTTTAAATAACTTTACCGAAGGAAAATCGGTGCGCTACAACTTTAGAATGATAAATTAATTTTGATAAAAAACTCCCATTAAAAAAACATTAAGCCTTAATCGAGCCTTATCAAA